CAAGCACATAATACATGCTCAAAGATGATTCCTTATTCAAATTCTCACATGTAAATCATCCTTAATCATTAATACAATATTCCAACATAATTCACAATAATACATAACAATTCACAATAATTACAAAAAATAATCTCAATGGCATTAAGCTCAATCATCTTCCAAGGTGATTTCCTTTCCTTTCCTTTCTCCTTACTTGATCCAACCCCTAATTGGTAAATATTTAAACATAAAGGAATGAGATTATATAGAAATCTTAGTAGCAAGGAATTAAAATAATAATGTCAAACATGTAAGGTAGATTACCAATAGATTCATAAACATTCTATGCCATGCAATTGTCATCACAATCCACTCATAAATAACATGTTAATGCATGTTTCCAAGGCATACAATGCAATCAACTAACATGTCATTTTCATCAAACAACCTCACACACGACATAGCATATATTCAAGTAATCATATTCTGTAACAATCAAGCAACATTAAAAATTGTGAATTCCATGCTTAATCCACAATTTCGGCCTCTTTGATTCCTTTGGGTTCCAGCCTATCCTCTTGCATAATTCCTATCAATTCTTGCATAAACACATTCCAAATTACCAATAATCCAAGCATAAACATTAATGTTTAACCTTAAATTCAATTATACCTCTTTTTCCTTGATTTTTGACATAATTATTTTCTCTTTTTTTTCATTAATCTCTTGATCCATTCCTACACAATTTTTGATGTAGAATCCAAATATCAAATCAAATTTAACAAAATCACATCCTTTCCCTTCAAATGATGTTGGCCGAATGGCAGGGTATTATGTTTCAAAAATTTCATTTTTGATTCCAACGATTTTAAACACTTTTTCCTGGTATTTTCTGATACAAAAAAAATACCTTTTAAACTCATTGGAATTATCAAATCACGTTGAAACAATCTCTAAACCCAAGAACACACTGTGGCCGAATAGGGTATCTTAAACCCTAACTTTGATTTTCTTCCAAACTTCAATCCAAACATCAATTAAACATGAAATTCTAAGCTCACATTCATAATTTCTATCCTTCCCTAATCTATCCTTAAACTGACCAAAAAATCGCATCATAGAATCTTAGGATTTTGTCATGAAACTTCAACCAAAACAACCTTTAAACCTAACCAAAATCAAGCTTAAACATACCTTGATGAACCCTTGCTTGAAGCTTGATAATTTTCCTTCCTTTTGCATGGTTTTTGGGGCTGTTTAAGGTCACTAATTTGGCCGAATTTCGCATCATTTAAAGGGGGTATTTATAGACAAAGTTTCGGTCCTCTCTTGCCTCCAAGTGTCTCTTAAAAATGTAGAGAAGGAGGCCATGTGGATACCTTAAAATGCTACAAAAATCTGGAGGTGTACAAGTGTCCCAAGTATAATAATGTTTAAGATAAAATCATGTGATATTTTACATTATTTTATTCCATAATCATGTGCAACACTTGGGCCACAAAATTACTGTTCATTTTTGGTCCAATATAAATTCCAATGGGCTGGAGAAAGAAGAAAGAAGTACCATCTTAAATCTCCAAACATTTTTCTATCCGATTTCGCTGTATCTACTAAAATTCCTTTATGATGTTCAAAAATATTTTTGGATCTTCAAAAATTTATTTCTTTAAATCAAATATCATATTTTAATATCAGAAGGTTGTCTAAAACATTTTAGAATTTATCTCAACGTCCAACTATTTATTTTGAATTTTTTCTAAAATCGGGCTTTACCAATAAGATTTCAGTAATAAATATTCTAAAATTAACCCTTTCACCTACATGGCCTAAAAACAATTTTATAAACTCCAATAAATCCTTAAATAATTTTTTCAAAATCATTAAAGCCTCTATATATTTAAAATAATTGTTTCGAGCTAGTTTTTCACTGTTTTTCCAAAAAAATCTATGTTTATCGAAAAATCTGTAATAATTTATTTTTACACTATTTCCACTTTAGGGCCTCAAATAAGCTTCCAAAACTTCTAATTTATCTTTTTACTATTTTCTAAAATTTTTTTAGAATTTTTCTCAAATTTTTCCATGTCCTTCTTAGACCGATAATTTCGAAAATATCAATCCGAACAACAGTCAGATCTCAACTCAAAAATTATTTTCCTTTGAATCTACTTTACCACTTGACTCTTTGTCTAATTTATTATCCATATTTTTATTGTCTAATTTGGCAGGATGTGACAAACTCTCTTCAAGTGTTCTTGGGTAAATATGAAAACTTCACAGGAACTCATTACTAACAAATTAGGTATTACATTTGTTAATTTCTCTAGACTCATTAATACATGTGAGTCTAAAGATCATGGGCCATATATTTTTGTATTTGAGTCACACTGGGTTTATTATGTTGAAGACGATAAACATAAAGATTAATATATAATAGTCCACCTGCAGTCACGAGATCTTTATGACATAGGTGATGATGATAACATTACTTATAATAGTAAGCCTTTTTCTTTTCCAGAAGAGATAATAGTTTAGCCTTTGTCAAGTGTATCTTCTTAATCAAACAAACTTTTTAAAATCATTTTCATTAAATTTCTTACTCAGAAATGAAGGAACTTGGCATTCAGAATCATGTTGGATCCCTTACCAAGTTGTTATCATGTTCTTGAAGACGAAAGTATAATTATACATTACATTAAGAAATTCTTGAAGATGTGAATAATGAAACAATTCTTTTGTTTTATGAAAGCTGCTTTAAATGATTATTCAAATGATGGGTTTGAGAGATGAAAGTTTGTCATCTTCTTTAAACAATAATTGGCAACGAAGCCAGCGTGCATGCTCAAGTAGACATGCCCATCAATAAGAAGAGAATGATATTTTCAAATTCCACACTTTCTTTAATACTACAACTGTCCTTAATATAAAAATTAATTAAGGAGTTATATTTGGTTCTAAATATAAAATATCAATTCATTGTGTCTCATATATTTCCTGAAAGTATCCCTATTGATTGTAAGAAATTCCTACCAAAAAATAGTCCCAATCATCCAATACATAGTATTGAAAAGGATGGTTTAAAGAGACTAACACACATTTGTGACAAAGGAACTAATTTCAGCGTTTATCATATTGATGAGCACCCTAAACTCATCAAGTCTGAATCTTCCATATTTCATTTGGATGATCCAGATTTGATTTCCTTTTTATTTTTATTTATTCAAAATAATTATTTTAATATGTATAGAATCTAAAATAAAGACAATCTCTTAACTATTATTTCTTTCAAAAAATAATTAATAATTAATTAAAGACTTTATAGACAGTCCAAATCTAATGAGTTTAAAGTGCTTATCAAGGTGATAAGCATTTTCTATGAAAAATAACTTATTTAACAAATTTGCTTACTATGCTCACATTATTTATCTAACTCTTATATTAAGAACTAGAGGTAGTAGTATATAAAAAAAAAAACAAGAACTGGAGGTAGTATTATTAATGATGGCATACTCAAAAAGGCAAGTTAGACCTTGCCTTGGGTTAACTTAGTTAACTAATTTACAGAGATTATAAAAAAATTTTAAATTAATTATCTATAACAAATACATATTAGTTCCTCTAAAATGGGCCATTTGATCATTACCTATAGAAACCCTTTAATATGCTATTAAAAGAGATAATTTGAGGAAAAATTTATAAATTTAAAAAACAAAATTAAGGTCTTATATTTAATATCAAAATAAACCTCTTAACTTGCCCCTACATTAAGTACTAGAAGAAGTAATTTATAACAATTTGATCAATGAGATGTGCAACGGTTTATAAACTAGCGGAAATCTTTAGGTACTGTTTGGTTGTTGGAAAGAATAAGAAGGAAATAGAATTGCCAGACATTATGTTTGAATATAGAAAGAACTATTCCCAGAAATTCTTAGGAGTATTAGAAAACATTATCTTAATTTCATGAGAAAGAGATGAAAGATTCATTAATTGCTGGAAATGAAGTTATGTGTGACAGCTGAAAACAGGAGGTTAGTAGTTCACATGTTTCACATTACAATACTAGTGGGTTGAATTATCATCACAATTAGAGGTAGGCTAATTTTCTTAGTGACACCATAACTATTCTAAGAAGATTATACATATATATATGTTGCTTCGCTAATTAGAGGCAATCCTATTCAAGATACTATTAAGCATTAAATGTAATCACTTCTTTTAGTGGAAATTCGAATATTAGTTCACTATGTTGTAAGAAAATTATCGCTTACACTTAAATAAGCTTTTAAAACTGAAGTTTTAGCCAAAAAGGATGGTTCTAAAAATAGATTAATCAAAGAAGAGTTGATCACTTGAGATTTTAACCTCCAAAATCATGATTGTAAACCCAAAAACTTGAATTTGGAATAAGCTAGAGAATTACTTTTAACCCCAAAACCATGTTTCTCTGGAATTATTTTGCTCTCCGGCTACTCTATTCATTTTAAGAATACCATTTTTCAAAAAAAAACAAAACAAAACAAAACAAAATTATTATTAACTTTGAATAGTGATCCTCCGAGAAATCACATCTCAAGTTTACAACCAAACCTTTTCCCCGAGGATTTTTTTTTTTTTGGTTGCCCACCAAGTTTACCGAAATTTTACTCTGACTACATCTAGATCCGACCCACGTCGCGCACCTGACTGTGTTGGGAGATTTCTGCATATGCTGAAGCTCGACCTTGAGACCTCGTTTAAACGATACCAAGCCGCTTACCACTTAGACTAACCCATGTTGGTATTATGTTGTTTCCCTTCATGCACTGTTTCTTTATTCCAATGGTTAGCGAGGTTTTGGCCAAAAAAAATAAAGGCAACCTAGCTGCCGTTAAAATTTAGCTTCGTTGCACCATCCGTCAGGGTCCAGTTAGTTACCATGCACGCTCATTCTAGCAAAACCATCAAGAGGAGGCACCATCAATATGGCAAGTTCAGTTTCAATACTACCATCTAAATTACATAAGAGTATTATTAAGTTTAAATAAGCAGCAGCTCTCAGCATAATTTGATCCACCAACTATGTTTGAACCAACAAACTCTTCGTGAATTTCTTACTACTCAACCAAAGTTCCATTGACAAAAACAAAAAGCATGAAAACCCCCCGGGGGGGGATGCCACAAGATTGCTCTTAATTATAATAATAATTCTAAAAAAGAAAACAGAAAAAGACATCCTAGTAGCAACATCAATATCGTGTTTCCCTAACCAGTGTCTTTAACACCAGTTCGACATGATTAATGAAAAAAATAATTTAAGGTCATAAATGCAATAGCTGAACCCCAAGCACGTGCTACAACAATGGGAGACAAACTAATCTTGGGATCCAAGTCCAAACACCTAGTCTTTGACAGGGAGAGAACCAATAGAGTTCACTTTTTCCATGAGGCTTTTTATTTCTCCCTCCAATTTGTCTCTCATTTCCGGTGAAATACCATGCCCTTTCTTCTCAAGGATTGAAGCCATCATCTCCAAGTTATGCTTAATGTAGTCAAGTGAAGGTCTACCACAATGCGGTAGCATGGATCCAGAATGTCCTGTCATTGTCTCACATTGTTTTAATGATGCAATAGTTTCAGAAGGATCATTGTGATCAATACTGGTTGCCCCAAATTGCTTGTTCTGCTTTAGATTACGAAATGCTTCTTCTACATCTGCACCTTTTAGAAAAGCAATTTGAGCATGACTGTCTTTCAATATCTGTGTTTCAGGTACATTCAAGGGACCGAATTGACAAAATGTAGATAATAGATCATCTTTTGAAGGCAAACAAACTCCAGGGTGAAATTGGAGGAGAAGACAAGATCCATTGATCTCCATTCTATTGTAATTAATTGTTTGAATGACTTCCATACCAGAAGAAATGCTTCTTGACAGTTCTGATTTAGGTTCTTGGTTCATCCTCTGGTTGTGGTTGGATTTCAGGTCAGGTGAAAAGCCATTGTCTCCCTCAAAGCCAATATCATTTAAATCTGGTATGACCGTCGCATGCTTAGTCTTGAGATGCTCCGCTGGTGGATTCGTAGCAGAGAGCCCATTATCAAGATTTCCAACCCCACCTAACTGGGAGGCATATAACTCTGGATTTGAACCTGTCAAATTTATTTCAACCTTATTCTCACCACTTATTTTTTCAGGAATACCGCTTCTAGGTGGGGGCACCATCTGCAGATCTATTACAAATGAACTGCTTTTATTGCTTTTTTCACCCCCATCAGGTAAGTTTGAAGAGACTTTAGTTCTTGGATCATCCAGAGAAACTTTTATCTTCTTTGTCTTTTTAGGTCTGGAAGCTTTAGGTGCTGCTAAACTACGTTTAGCTCTGCTGCTCCCTGCACAAGTTGTTGACCTAACATTTTGCAACGGAAGTGCTGGTTTTACATCTTCCATGGTCTCCTCTGGCCTTATGTTATTCATTTTTGCAGTACATCCTGAGAGATATTCACTTGCAGCAATCTTTTTATTCACATCTGATTGGCTTGGAAGGGATTTATTCCTGCGCCTCCGTGTTGGTTCCAATTTCTTTTTCTTTTCCTCCGGCTCACTATTGACCTTTAGGGAACCATTTCTGATTGGTGTCCCTGTATTTCTACTCTTATGATTTTCCAGGATAGCAGCAAGTTCAGCCTCATCATGGAATGTTGATAATCTATATGCGCTAAAGAACCACTCAACTAAATCAGATTTGCTATTCTTGTATGAAAAATTACAATCAAGAGCTTTAGAGTAAAGGCCGAAAAGCAATTCTGATGAAGATGCATTTATGAATTCTTGACTGCTAGACATAGTACTCCATCGGACGTGTTTTCTGCACCATTTACTTCGTAATTTCTTCTTACTAGATTTAGCAGTTATAGGAGATCTGTTAGAACGATTATTAGCTGCCCTTGAACCTTGTACTTGATGACAATGGCTTGGAGTCTCTGAGTCTTCTGTTTTAACAGTCAAACCTTTGTGTCCTGCTGCCATGTTTGTGTAGGGATAGGACAAATACCTACTCTTCCTCCGTTCTCTAGAATAAAAGGTTTCTGAAGAAAAAGATGGCCCAATAAGCATCTCGGGAAAAACAAATTAAAAAACATTTACTTTTATGTATATCATTCATAATGGAAAAGAAAAACGCAAATTAATTCAGAAATATCCAGTGCAACAATGTAAAGAGAACGCCACTGTAGAGAAACAGCATACTAATGAACTAAAATAGCTGATGCAAAACTACTACAATAGTTTATCAACTTAGCTTACCATACAAAGCCTCCTTACACTTCTTCACATGAATGAGTTAAAGGGGAAAGATTTCAGCATAGAAACTTAAAACAGGAATAGATATTTAAGATAAATGCTGTCACTGCAACCTGTATTACGATGGAAAATGTTGAGGATCACATTCATAAACCTAGCAAACAGCAGAGATACCAAGGAAATAATTCTCACCAAACCTGGTTTTTGAGAGACCAGGTCCTCTCCTCACTCAAAACATCTGCTTACCCTCTCACAACTCGCCCTACAGCCTTTATATGCATTCCCACTACCCTGCTATTGTCAGAAATTCGTTGGCCATCAATCTTTCCCATTCTGCCCTCCACTTTTAGTCTTGTATGCTATGTTCAGGTTTGGGCCTGATCCTTTTCCTTTGTCATTTCTCTTAGACACTTGGCCCATAGTTTGGCAGACCCATCAAAATAGTGGAAGGAACTTTCAGCAACAGGACATGTACAGATACTGTTTATTAAAACAATGTTTTGCATATACAAAAGAAAGGAAAAAAATATAAGCATGTTGACCATTTTCAAGAATTGTTGTGCCCAAAAATCTTGAACACGATCAGCAAAAAATATGAGATGATCTCTTATCCACAAGTTTGACGAATACATACCATCTCTTGCACCAGCTCTTACTGAAAACTCAAATAATATTATCATTTTCATATCAAATAATAATATATCACTGGGGACCTGTTGATACATATTTTGACAGGGTCACCTTTAAATAGGAAATCCAAAAATTTTCCTGAACCTTCGCTCTCAATTTCAATCAACAGATAATCATAATATCCTAGGGAACCTATTTGCCATCCACAGAGCTACTCTAAGGTTGAACAAAAACAAAACGAATGAAGTGAACAATATCTACCAAACTTACCATCTTGTTTGTACATAGCTACCTCCTGGTCTGGGTTCAATGATGCTTAGACACTGCTTACCTTCTACAAGAAATAATAAATAGTGAGGTTCAAAGTCAACGAGTACAAAATAAAGCACAGCAACTAAAGCGATGGGCTGGAGCACAATTTTTTTTCCTAAATAAAAAAAAAAATTCTTTGATAATGCCATGACTCAATGTAAACATATAAAATTGGCAAGACTCAGCTTGAGAAGTTTTATATCATGACTACACATATAGGACACCGAAGCTTTTTGCTGCCTCAAGGTGTCCACATTATCTAAGTCAAATTAACCAGCTAAAACAACAAGTCTTAATCCTACTGGGTAAGGTTGGTGCATGGATCGCACAATGCCATTGTGCTCTATCAACAACCAAATCTTTAGATAAACTGTTAACTAAAAAGTTTTGTTCAACGACCTCATTGAACATTTTCCTTGGTCTTCTTTTGTCCCCTTTTAAAAGACTCCAAACTATCAGATCTACTCTCCTCATCAGTGCCTCTAATGACTTTCTCTGTACATACTCAAACCATCTCAAACAATGCTTAACTATTTTCTCTTTGATAGGCGCCATGCCTATTCTTCTCTTATATGACCATACATTTATCTCAACATCCTCATTTATACTACCCCTACTTCGTGCTCTTATTTTCCCTTTAAAGCCCAACATTTACTACCATATAATAACATGACTAGTCTTATATCAGTTTGATGGAATTTTCCTTTAAACTTGTCAAGTACTTTCTTGTCACAAATAACTCCGATAACTTTTCTCCACTTTAGCCGCCTAACTTGTATTCTATGAAAAAAAATCTCCATCAATTTCACCACCCTCATATATAATGGATCCCAAATACTTGAAGTTTGATACTTAAGGAATGATTTAACATACCATCTTAACCTCGAAATCACTATTGATTGTTTTCTCCCAAATTGCAATGCATACATTTTGTTTTGCTCTTGTTCAAGCAAAAATCTTTCGACCCCAAGGTCCTCCATAACTCAAATCTAGAATTAATCTCCTTTCAATTCAGCCATGAAAACTGTCACGCCTAGAAAATTAAGGGGTGGCTACACAAAATATGAGAACTCATTCCTAAAGCCTTAAAAACATACAAACAAATCTCTAACATAATAATTACAATAATCTTGAGGGTTCATTCATTACTTCTAGTTCATCTATATATATATATATATATATATATATTTCTCGTTATCAAAATATTAAGTGTTTTGTAAAGATTTTGGAAGAATCTTCCATATAAGTTGAACTTTTTGAAAATTCTACAACTTAATAGATGAGTAGAAAAATAGATCTTCGGTCTATAACAATAACATCCATATATCCCAATGTATCAAAAGGAAGCAAGGATCCTGCCTACAAACTACCTGGAGCATCTAAACTACAAAAATTAATACTTAAATGCAAACTTAGTTTTACATTACTATCAAATGTTGTGAAATATATCTACAAGCTTTAATTAGCAATGAGTTTCTTTGTTGTTCAACTGAAGGTGCAAAGTCAATGATGTCTGAAGCCAAAATAGATGCATTCATAGAAATAAGGTAAAAGAAGTACTAAAAGAATAAATTTTGCAAATAGAATTATATAAAATAAATAATTTACCGTTGCTTTAGAATTTTAAATAAGCCATTAAAACATTAAAGAAAATATATAACGAAAATCTGATATACTATCGTTGATAATTCACTTGTAATTGATTGATTATTCCAACAGGAGAGTCGTACATAAATAGGATAGGATTTCCTCACAATATATTTGGAAATACGATCAGATTAAATGAAAAATTAAGGGAGAGAAATCCCACTGATTTGGGACCAACAATCTAGAAAACAAAAATAGAAAAAGCAAGTGGTCAGGGATCTAATTCTAACAGCTAGAAGGGTTTGATTCTGACACTCCCCCTCAAACTAGAGAATAGATGTTAAGCATTCCCAACTTGCTTCGTAGCCCTTCAAATTGCATTCTTGCTAGTGGTTTAGTCATTATATCTGCGAGTTGGTGAGAGAACTTTATGCAAGATAGATTGATAATCCCCACTTCAACCTTTTTCTTGATGAAGTGTCTATCTATTTCCACATGCATAGTTTTGTCATGGTAAACCGGATTCTTTGTCATCTCAATACGAGCCGTGTTGTCACACCATCTGGTACAGGGGTCCTTCATAAGGTACTTTGAGCTCCTTAAGGAGTCGGGCATTCCCGGCCCACCAAGCTAAACCGATAGTTTCTTGGTCACGACTTGTAATCTAGATTCCCTCACACACTCCTAGGGCAACAACCCTAAGTTCAAATTCAGCACTACTTCTAGACACAACAGACTACTTTTTGCTTCTCCATATTACCAAATTTTCCCATACATAAGCACAGTACCCTGCAGTGGATCTTCAGTGTTCCACTACTCTTCCATGGTTACTATCCATGTATATTTCTATACCTCTGATTCTTTTTTTCTCAAAGAAAATGCCTTCCTAGGGTTTAAGTTTTAGGTAGCTCTAAATGTTGAGCATGGCTTGCATGTGTCTTTCTTGAGGGTAGTTTATGAACTGGCTTACCATTCCTACTGCATAACTAATGTCAGGGCGTGTGTGAGTAAGATAAATCAGTTTCCCCATTAGCCTCCTGTATCTCTCAGAGTTTACTGGAATACCTTTAGGTTTAATTTCTAAGTTACATGTGGTCTCCATCGATATTTCACTAGGCTTGCATCCTAGAATTCCTACTACTTGGAGAAGTTCAAGGGTGTAGTTTCATTAGGATACATTGATCCCTTTCTTGGTTTGTGCTATTTCCATGCCTAGGAAGTACCTTATTTGTCCAAGGTCTTTAACTTGGAATTCAGTAGCTAATGCTTCTTTTAGTAGCTCAATTGACTTGTTGTCGTTTCCCGTGATTATAATGTAGTCAACATAAACAATGAGCACAATGGTCATCCCATTGTTATGTTTCACAAACAATGTGTGATTAGCTTGCCCTTGGAGGTACCCTAGTGTTTTAGGACTTTCCAAATCTGTCAAACCATGCCCTAAATGATTGTTTTAGTCTATAAAATAACTTTATAAGTCTACACACCCTAGTGACATTTTTAGTTTCTCTTAAACCTTCAGGGATTTCCATGCAAACTCCCTCTTCTGAGTCTTCATAGAGAAAGGCACTCTTTATGTCTAGTTGATATAGTGGTCAATCATAATTAGTTGCTATGGATAGTAGAACTTTAATTGTGTTGAATTTGGCTAATAGTGCAAAAGTTTCTTCATAGTCGATCCCATATATCTAAGTGTATCCCTTTGTGATGAGTCTCGCCTTATTGAAACTGCCATCAGGGTTGAATTTTGGGGTGAAGACCCATTTACAACCTACAACCTTCTTTGCAGAAGATAATGTTGTGATGTCTCATGTTCTATTCTCTCTTAGAGCCATGAGTTCTTCTTCCACAACCTTTTTCTAGTTAGAATTGTTCATGGCTTGTTGGAAGGTATCCGGATCTGGTATCTTTACTTGTACACTATTAACAACAAAGTTTTGCATTCTGGTAGATAGATTAGTATATGAGACAAATTTCTGAATAGGATGTTGAGTACAAGATCTTACGCCCTTTCTTAGAGCTATTGGCCACCCATATCGTTAGGGTCTAGATTCATGTTGGACTCTTGGTTCTACCTTAGAATGGGAGGATCTTCTTTTATATCTTCATCTTCTGGACTACTATGGGTATTGGAGTTATTAGTTTCTTGATTTTCAAATTTTCTAGGTGATTTGAGTTGTTGTTGGTTCTATTTTGAGGTGTTTTAGATCTGTTTCTTAACCTCCATTTGCTGTTTGAATGTTAAGACTCTCTGTGTTGCTTCAAGACTGTGTAGTATGGTTTCATACGGGTGTTCTATGGGTTCAAATCTCTTTTCAATGTCTCCAGTTGCTCTGTTTTTTGTATTTCCAGTCGTAGGCAAGGTATCTACAGGTTCTCATGGTCTGTGAGCTATTTCTGCCTCTATTTCATCTATGTGATGAGTGTAAGTGTTGACGGGTTCTTGAATTAGCCATTCTGCAATCCCATAATCCTCCCTTTGAATAGGTTATTTAGGGTAGTGACCGTATTCTTCATAAAATACAGCATTCTTAGTGATGTGAACAATTTTAGTAATAGGAGAGTAGCATTCGTAAGCTTTTTAGGTTGATGAGTACCCTAAAAAATACATTTTTCCGCTTTTGATTCAAGTTTCGCCATATTTTTATAAACAAAGACCACAAAACCAAGACTTTGGGAGGTAGAGTATTGATTAAAGGGGAATTAGAGTAGTGTTTAAGTAATTTCTAAATTGGAGATTTGAAATTTAAAACCTTGGAAGATACTCTATTTATAAGATACATTGCAGTTAACAATGCATCTCCCCAATAAAAATTAGGAATGTTCTTTTCAATCATAACAGCCCGGGTTACTTCCAACAAATACTCTTTTTTTGTTCAGCTACCCCATTTTGTTGGGTAGTGTAAACAAAAGCCGTTTGATGATGTACTCCTTGTTATTCAAGAAAGTTTTTGAAAGGTCCACTCATGTATTCCTTGGTATTATCACTTCTCAACACTTTAATTGTAGTTTGAAATTGATTTTGCACAGATGAAAATTTTTTTTGAAGTTTCAAAAACTTCGGATTTTTCTTTTAAAAGGACAAGCCAAGTCATTCGAATATAGTCATCAATCAAGGTGACAAACCACCTTACATTAGAAAGAATTTTAGGTTTTGCAAGACCCCAAATATCACTATGTATGAGAGTAAAAAGGGCAACAGGTTCATAAGGTTGTTTGGAATAGATGGCTCTTGTTTGTTTGCCAAATTGACAAATGTCACAGCTTAGAGACTTCAAAACATCTTTATTAAAAAACTGTGGAAATAAGTATTTCATGTAGTTGAAACTGGGATGGCCTAATCTATAGTACCAAAATACAATATTTTTGTTTTGAGTATGGTGGCTAACTACGTCTTGCTTCTGCCTTATTGTTCATGTTGAAGTAATAGAGTCCATCCCAATCTTTAGCTTTGCCAATCGTCCTCCCCGCAACTATGTCCTAAAATACACATTCTAATTCATTAAATAGGACATGGCATTACTAACCTTTAGTTAGTTTACTCACAAAAATCAAGTTACAAGTAAGTTTAGGTACATATAGAGTATTATGTATAGCGATATGTTCAGTCAATTAGACAGTCCCAAGTCCATATACACAAGTAGAGATTCTATTGGCCCCTTGTACTTTTAGGTTTTCAAAATAGTATTTAAGAGTCTTAAATAGGGATTTGTTACCAGTCATGTGATCTAAGGCTCCAGAGCCTACAATCCAAATTGGTGTTGAAGGCAATTATAAAGTTACCTGACTGTACCAAGTTGGTGTTGGGAAGACTGCTTTGTTTTTCTAGGACTCGCCTTAATAACTGGAGTTCTTCCCTCTCTCCTTCCTCTTCTTTCTTTTCTGCACGGTAGCTCTTCTTTTCTTATCTTTGTTTGTTGTTCATGTTAAGTGGTTTTCCATAGAGTTTCCGACAGATTTCTTTAGTGTGACCCTTGTTGTTGCAATAATCACATATTGGCTCCTTTAAAGACAAGTACAGATGCCTCAACTTGTGTGATAGGGGCTTGGGTGAGTTACGTTATGCTTTCCTCACACTTGACCATGTTAAATGATTCAAACAATGAAGGCACATGCTTGAGGCCCATAACTTGGTCTCTAACATCTTCAGAAAACTCAGTTAGTCCTAACAAAAAATCATATGTTCTTTCTCTTTCAATTAGTTCTCTATAGTATTGAGCATCCTCAATATATGTCCATGACTGTACCTCAAATAAATCGAGTTGTTGCCAAATTCTCATGAGAGCACTAAAATAATGTGTTGCAGTCATCATACCTTGTTCAAGCTCCCAAAGTTGTTTGTTTAATTGGTAGAGTGCAGCTTTGTTGCCAACTGAAGAGTAGGTTCTTTTAGCAACATCCCAGATTTCCTCAACCGTCCTAGCCAACAAGTACCTTTGCTGATCCCTAGTGTCATTGAGTTGCATTACCAAGTCATGACCTAGTCATTTCTAACAAACCATGTATAAAAAGAGGCGTTGTTTAGTTGTGGTTGTGGCGCTTGGCCATTTATATATTTCCCCTTGCGTCGATCTCTTAGGCACATTAGGACACTTTATGACCACTCTAGATAGTTGCTCCCATTCAACTTGTGGGCCATCACCATCTGTTGGTTTTCAGTGGTGAGCTTCGGCACCACGGTGGAGCCACTTGCGGGTCGCATCACCCCAAAAGAAAGGGATTCTAGAGAAGCCAAGATGCTTGATTCACTGGGAGAAGAGAACCCAGCCCTAAGAGCCAGCACTATTGGGCTCCTATCAGCTTGACTGTGTTGCCATGTTCCAAATAAAGGAGGGAACTCATCATTGCTCATTCTTTCCAGAGCCCTGATATCATATCGTTGATAATTCACCCATAATTAATTGATTATTCTAATAGAAAAGTAGAACATAAATAGGATCAGATTTCCTCACAATATATTTGGAATTCTGATCACATTAAATGAAAAATTAAGGGAGAGAAGTCCCATTGATTTGGGATTGACATTCTAGGAATCAAAAATATAAAGAGCAAATGGTCGGGGATCTGATTCTAACAACTAGAAGGGTTTGATTCTGACAAATAAAAAATTAACCAAACATTCAAAAAAAACTTATTTATAAATTCAAATCAAAAAACAGTGTGAAAAACTCCTTTCAATTAAGAACTTCAACAGAACGCATAACAAGCCTTGACACACAGCACAAGAGGAAAGCAACCAACAAGTATGGGAACAATGCCCACAAATATTAAGCAAACTCAAGACCATGGCACATCAAAACAAACGAAGTCGAAGCCACCAATACAAGCGTGACCAAAGCTACGAGTACAAGCATGACCAAAGCTACGAAACAAATGTAGCCGAAGACACAAATACAAGCTTGACTAAAGCCATGAAACAAGCAAGCTCAATATTAACCATGGTGTGCCAAGCACTAACAGTACTACTGTTAGCAACCACCATTCTATATTCAATACTTTAAAAATCATTTTTAGGCATACATAGGATCAATTTACCAATAATCGAAAGATACCCTTTTCCAATAATGAAATCTCATTAGAAAGATATTTTAACAAATAATCCCAGCATGAAAATTTTTAAATAACATTTCCAAAACTTTCTTTCAAATTCCGTTAGTCACTGACAAAGGATTCATCTCAAACGATATAAGTTCATATAGGAACATTTTCAAAACAAAAACATAGATCATAATTCAAAATCATTATTTCATCCAAACATTCAAATATCAACAAATAAATGTTATAGTTCCAACAAACCTATTTTCAACCAAATAATGTTAAAAAAATTGATAATATATATAAACATATAACATTTGAAAAACATATTTGTAAAAATTATCATGGGATACTATTCACTCACCTATTGCACTTAACCAAGTATAATTTACTCCTATTTACTCAACTCCGAATATGATCACCGTTCAATTTCCCAATGTCCTAAAGTATAATATACAATTTCGTTCGGAAATGCTCCTCGTTATATTTCATGATAATCCTTATTATTTATTTATTTATGTAGCTTTTACAATCATCAACATAATAACTTCATAAACCATTTACCATAATCATCTTGACAATTAAAACCACAACATCTAAATACTCAAATTGCAACTCTTTAAAGTAGAAAGAAAACCTTAGCCTTAAATCCCGTCTTATGAAAAATATAATTAAGAGTGCAACTAATAACTGAATTTTTTTAATTACTCTTAACTATTAAACCCAAAATCTTGGGTTTGGAGGAACATCTTCCATCTTTTTCATTTCCTTCAAGCATTTTATCAATCCATCAAGTGTGTTCTACAAATCCATTCATAAAATAGAGCAATCTCATTTTAATTAAATTCCTCTCATCTACAAAATTTCACAATCACTTTTTAGGCACAACATTCATACCAGATTATTAGATTTCTCACCTTTCAACTCTTTCGCCTAAAGATTACCAAACCTCAATTTCTAAGATATATATATATATATATATAATTATCATACTTCGCAATTTCAGTTCTTTACCAGGTCTCAATACAGAAGAAGAGATATGTCTTACTTCCCTAAAGTCTATTATGTGTAATCGAATTGTAAACCAAAATCCATATCATACTCGTTACGCATTTAGTCTCCAAGATCAAGTTACAACACCATTACTATTGTCCTACATTATAAATCAAGCCACTTCAATACCCTTACTAAATCGCAAAGTTACACAACGTCTCAACAGTATTCGCATTATACATAAATAAATACCACGCATGTTCTCTTGAAATTCATCAAAATTTTAATAAAATATACATTCAAAAAAACTTTATTCACTCATGCCTTAATTAACCAAAACCCTCAAATCTCATTCTTCTTTCACACAATTCACCAAACACCTCATAGGCATTCGAACTGACCCAATAAGAAAGCGTCTTAATTCACAAATTTTCCAGCATCCACATTCACATAATTTCATTAAGCCCGTTTAATCTTACATCTTTCCTTTTGCACCACAAACAGCCACAATACATCAGAAAAAGGCACGGGAAAAAACGATCAAAGTTCAACAACTACACCTACGCCGCCACATAACGGAAGAAAACTATTTCAAGCCCACATAGCAGCAGCAACAGAACAGGGGAAGAAAAAATGCAGAAAAGATTCCTCTCATACACACTGCTTGCTATACAAGCTTAGAAAAAGAAAACACTTTGAGCTTACCCAAAACTTTAATAACAGCGATGTTGGAGGAGGAGGAAGGAGGGAACGAAGCATAATCCTTCCCAAACTACCAAGCCACTAAACAGAGACGAGAGAGAGAGAGAGAGAGAACAGCAAAGAAGACGTAAATCGAAAACAACCACGAACCCAAACTTACACACGCTGGCGACAGCTACTCGGGCTACGGCGGACAGACGACAACGATTCCCAGCCATCGGCGACGGCAAGACGGATGATGGGAGGATCCATGAAAAGTTGGGGTTTCAGTTAGAGAGCTACCCAAGGTCTCGAAAGTTCTCCCCTCCTCCCCTCACCTCTCTCTCTACTGAGCCTTTTAGTGAAAAAAATCTGATGCCCATTTGGAAAAATAAAATCAAAGGGTAGCTTAGTAATTTCATCAGTATCAAACAAAATAAAATTCTCCTCTGAGGGCAGTATTAAAAACCAAACAAACCAAACGATTTTGTCCGAAAACCAGCAGATTGGCCGCTTGTCTTGTCTGATTGCCTTCCTAAGCCAACTAAAAACAAACTGGTAGGAATCGACATAAACTAGTGTGGTTCGGTAATAATCCGGGTAACCCGTTAGATTAGACAGGTTACTCAGGTTAATTTTTTTAATCACAAGAAATAATGGAAGGCGTGGCAAACTGATGAATTTCGAGCGTACCTAAAGTGCAAGATGATTTCAGATTCAGATAGCCACGTGCGAAAGTCCGTTCACAGTAATGGAGTCAGACTGTATACTCACAACAAATACACTGGAGGGAGAGGAAGAACAGAGAACGAAGGGGGGAGTCTGAAGAACAAAAATCGGGGTTCACGCATACTGATCCCTTTTCGGTTGTTCAGTTTATTAACTCCACATTTTTGAAATAAAAAACTGCCTCATTCGTCCAAACGTTCCCTCCTTTTTGCAAATTATATAAAAATGCAAAAAGTACAATTAGATACCCATATGTTTTGTTATTTACATCAGAACCCCAAAGCTTAATGAATTTGGATCCAATCCACCAAAGGTGGATTGACCCATTTTCTTGCACAAACAATAAGAGAGAAGAAAAGTGACAAGAGAAAAATGAAAGAAAGAGCAAGTGGCAAGGATAAATGCTAATGATGCGTTTACATTTAGAATGGACGACCCAGACTCACATATCACCATAGTGGATTTTGATGATGGAAGTAAAGAGTGAAGAGTTAGCGTTGATTAATAAAGGAAAGAGGTGGCGTCCACGATTCTAGATGCAAATCTTCTTTTGTGTGGGAGGCTTGCGTTTAACTTACAAGGTTTTGAAAAAAAACTGGGGACTTATAAAAGAACGGTGATTTAAAAATAAAAAAATAAGTGTTTAGATAAATTCAAATCATGATTTGCAGAATAATTTCCGGAAAAAAAAAAAGGTGATTTTCAGAATAATTTTGTAAAAAAATAATTTTAATAAAGTGAGCATGTCTCGACAGTTATTATCAGTAGCACTTTTTTTATGTACAAATTATCAAAAAGTACATAAGTTAATATGATAATTATATAAAAGATAGATTTTAATTTGTATTTTCATTTGAAGTAATAAACTTGCTAATAATTTTTTCCCAATATAATAAATGAAATATGAAAAGTATAATTAATTATTTGTTAATATGTGTATATATATTTATAAAACATAAGATTACAAATGTTTTTGAAAAAAAATGTATAGTTTTTTGTCAATAGAAAAAATATTATTGTATTGTAAATATTATAAACACGAAATGCCATTATTTTTTTTTACAGAATTAAATAAACACCTATCAAAACAAAATACAGTGAAGGGCGAAACTTTTATCGAACGCAGTTGATGAGATGAGGCCAAGTTTTGATTACAATCTAAAGGCTAGGTTTTGATTTCAATTTGAATGGCATTTTTGTCCAAATGCCTTTGCCTCCCTTCCAATACTCATAATAAGTACTCCAACAACTAGTTTTTTAGCCCCAAAAGCAAAAAAAATTTTGCTTTCTCCAAAATCATGGTTTGGGAAGCTAAAACTATTGTTTTAGTTCAAACTATGGTTTTGCAAAAAAATTAGGGTGTTTGGATACTTTTGGACCTAAATCATAGTTTGGAACTCAAAAGTGCTTTTTGAACAATTGAAAAACACTCTAAGAGTACTAGTGAAATGATAAAATGGCATTGGAAAGAAATAAAATCTCACAGAGGACAAGAGAGGGCACGTGAATGATAAAGAAGCGATGAGAGAAATGCATTTTATATACTAAAAATAAAATAATTTAAAATTATACTTTTATTAATCAATATTTTTTTACACATTTTAATTTAATTTTATTATTTTAATTATCATTTGTTTGACTTCAAGTTAATTCTGATATGACCTATTAACCTTTCAACTCATTACTTTGACCGATCTATTAACTAATCCGATTTTGGGTACCTTTACCTTTGAGAACGCTAGGAATTGAATAGGGACTTACTAGCATCTCTTTTTTGGCACTCTTTACCGGAAGTTACACTACAAAAAAATATGTCAATTGTAGTAGTTAAAGTGAGACATTTCTAGCAGTTTTAATCGCAACAAATAATATTTGTAGCGGTTAACAAAACCGCTAGAAAACCAGGCGCAAGAAAAAATTTCTAGCGGTTATGGCAACCGCTACACAGCATGGTCAAAACGCTAGACAATTTCTAGCGGTTAACCAACCGCTAGAACATGCTGAAAGGAAAAAAAATTCTAGCGGTTTTATAACCACTAGAAAAATTCTGAACCAAATCTCATTTTGCCAAGAATTAAAAATTTTCATCAGTGCGCCAAAATTTCTAGCGGTTGAGGAACCGCTAGAAATTTCGGAGAAATTAAATTTTCTCGCCAATTAAATTTTTAAATGGCGCCAAAAAAATTTCTAGCGGTTTGAACCGCTAGAAATTTTAGAATCACGAAATATTTGTAGCGGTTCTAAACCGCTAGAAATGTTTTCCGTGCCAGAAAAAAATTTGTGGTGTTTCATTATTAGAAAATATAATATTATAATTTTAAAAACCATTAAATAGATTATGTTAAAAATTTTTGTTAATTTGTATAATTACTTGTGTTACATTTTATATATTTAAATTTTGTAATAAACAATATATAATTAAATTATGAGTGTGTTAAAGGAAGTGAATTTAATTTAATAAGATAATTGAATTGAATATTTAATGAGATAGTTGAATTGAAGATGAGATAGTTTGTAATATTGAACCTATCGTGTTAGGTTGAGGAATATTTGAATCAGTTGAGGAGGGCATGACAAGTGTGAGGAAGAAAAATCTGAAAGAAAAGGAGAAATAAATATGTTAGTAAATTTTAAGTAAAAACAAATAAAAGATACAATGACTTATAAAATAAAATTCACTTACCATACAGTAAAGAGAAAGAAACCACCATATGAGAGAGTAAGAAAAAAAGAGAGAATTATGAGGAAGAATAGGAGAGGAAAGAAAAGAGATGGAGTAAATAAATGTAGAGAAGATATGATATTTATAGAGATCAGCGACACATTTGTAGCGGTTTTTTTGTAGCATTTTATTGCATTTTGTATCTGTTAGTCATTTTCTAGCGTACACATAACCGCTAGTATTTTGTAGTGGTTATAGTTTGTAGCGGTTACATAACCGCTACAAATGATAATTTTTATAATAAATTTGTAGCGGTTATGTAACTGCTACAAATTTATTATTTATTATTTTTTTAAAAACTGTACCAATTTTAATTTATACATATGTATTTATGGACGAAAATTTTTTTTAATAATAAAAATTTTGGATGCTGCTATTCTCCATCATCATCCGGCCTGAAAGGACACATTTTAAAAAAATTTGTTAGAATTATAATGTATTTGGAAAAAATTAGTAATTAGTAGTTAATTATTTAAATAATTTAAGAAAAGACGTATACCTGATAATTGACAAATTATCATCTCCTTGAGGAAAGAAGTCTTCAAGATTCGAGGGTTGAAAGGGTTCACTGTCGTAAATAATGTCACCATCACCCATATCATAAAGATCCCGTGGCTTGAGGTGAACGACCATATTCCAATCTTTATGTTTTTCGTCCTCGACATAGTAAACCTGGTGTGCCTCAGAAGCAAGGATATATGGCTCATCATCTTCAGATGCCCCCGTATGAATTAGTCTAGAGAAATTAACTAAGGTGATGTCCAAATGGTCAGTAGCGAGTCCCCGTGAAGTTGTCGTATTTGCCTAGGAGCACTTGAACAGTGTCACGGTTCAAAGCTGGTAACTCAACTCAATAATGTCAATTAGCTTTCCATAGTAAGTGACGCCTCCAAAGCGCATATCGCCATCACTACTGCTAGCATAACATCTCGTTCCGAATATCCCGCAAACTCCAGAGTTTTGTGTGAGCAATCCCTGATCACGTCCAACCGTACAGAACTTGAAGCCGTTGACATTATACGCAGTAAACCTTCGTGCATGGTCTAACGGACCGAGAGAAAGAGCTTTGAATTTATCTGTGTATGGGCTGTTGTCATTACGTATTCGACGTGTAAACCAACTGGGAAACTCTTTGTGGACTCTTTTATCAATATCAGCAGAATGCGCACGCCCCCGTAGCTGACGCCTGAGGTAACTCCTAAACTCACTACAGTAAAGTGTAATTTGTTAGAAGAGTCAGTAAGAAACAAATATAAAGTGTAAAAGCTAGTAAGCTTATATGATATATATACTTACTGCATGAAGGGTTCAACTTGGCTGCAATTTATCAAAACATGTCTGTGTGCGTGGAGTTTCTCTGTAGGAGTGAGTCTGAAGAATTCATATCCTCCAACTGGTTTCCCAACAGGAGGAAATAAAGTTGACGTGGAAGGACCAGGAGGAGAATCATCTACGCGACGCGGGCGGTTAAAAGATGTCTCCATGTCATCAAAGTACCTTGAACAGAAAGTTAGGACCTCATCTCCGGAATAACCTTCTGCTATTGACCCCTCAGGCCATGCCTTATTCCTAACATATGATTTTAATTTTCCCAAGTACCTGTAAGTTAAAATTGCATTAATAATTACGAGTAAATGAAAGAACAATATGAAATTTAAAGAGGCGGGAATAAAAGATAATCTAGTACCTCTCTATAGGGTACATCCATTGATAGTGAACTGGGC